TGTAACACAAAGACCAAGATTAAAATGTGTTGTAGCTTTATACAAGCTATGTGACACACAGACTTGTGTTAAAATGTATTGTAGCTTTATACAAGCTATGTAACACACAAAGACCCATGTTAAAATGTGTTGTAGCTTTATATAAGCTATGTAACACACAAAGACCCATGTTAAAAATGTGTTGTAGCTTTATACAAGCTATGTGACACACAAAGACCCATGTTAAAATGTAAGCTGTTTATAGTTTTCCAGTATTGTAGACCTAAGGTTCTAAAGTGTTAACTTGTCCAATTGATGAAAATGGTTATTGTAGGTTATGAAGAGACGGTCTGACCCTCCACTAAGAGAACAGAGGTACAATTTAAATCACTGGCTAATCCAAGAAGCAGAGATGAGGCGTATTACAGAACAAAATGAGAGACAGAGACTTAGACCGGCAAATGACCCTCAAGTGATGCACAGTAGGAGGTCTGCATCAGCGTATCCTCTCTCTAATGGTGATCGGACAAATAGAAACCACCCTAGGCCTGTCTCTATGCCTCCTCGTAAACCTCCGCACACAGTTGCTCAAGTTTCTTCTGGTCGTAGTCTGGACGAGCTATGGAAGCTTCAGTCTTCTGTCCCCGTCGGACAGACCAGAAGCCAATCTCATGGTAACCTAAACAACCTGAACTACAGGAACGAGTTCATTCAGCCTGCTACTACGTCCAACACAAGATACAGTAGAGGGTTTCCTGAACATCAGGAGCACATGTTGTCTGTGAGTGGAAGGAAAAGATGTTCTCATTGTAGTGAAGAACTAGGTTTGTAGTAAAATATTAGTGTTCATTTATGTGTAGTGACGAACTAGGTTTGTAATAAAATATTAGTGTTCGTTTATGTGTAGTGACGAACTAGGTTTGTAGTAACATATTAGTGTTCATTTATGTGTAGTGAAGAACTAGGTTTGTAGTAAAATATTAGTGTTCATTTATGTGTAGTGAAGAACTAGGTTTGTAGTAAAATATTAGTGTTCATTTATGTGTAGTGAAGAATTAGGTTTGTAGTAAAATATTAGTGTTCATTTATGTGTAGTGAAGAACTAGGTTTGTAGTAAAATATTAGTGTTCAATAATGAATAGTGACGAACTAGGTTTGTAGTAAAATATTAGTGTTCATTTATGTGTAGTGAAGAACTAGGTTTGTAGTAAAATATTTGTGTTCGTTTTATGTGCGAGTTCATAGGTGTCAGAATTATAAATCTTTCACATGTCGAGCTGTTAAAAAGTGTCATTTTTCTATCATTGTTACAAAACAAAAATAGCTTTGCAAGTATATAATATACAGATATGGCAAACTGTGATTAACGAGAGATAAAGCTCGGATAATACAAAGTTTCATATATTTTTAAAGAATGGCTGGCACAGATATGACATGTTTCAAGGTAAATGACAAAACCAACCAAAGATGAAATTACTTCCTACAAAAGGAGGATGTATTTTTTCAAAATCACTCAAGTTATTAAATTTATTGGAGTTAATTTTTGCAGTAAGTAACTCTCATTTTTTATGTCAAAAGAAAATTTAGGATATTACATTATATCAGTCAAAAGTTTTGAAATTGTAAAACTTGGTGTAAGGGTTAAGCTACAGCCGTGCACACACCCATAGCTGTAACGCACAGCTGTAGTTTAACCCTTACATCAAGCTAGCTTATGAACACACACACACACACACATTCATAAGCTCTTTGGACTTTAGAAACATTTTTAAAACGTAATCACTGAAGTTTGTATTTCTCCTGTTTGTTTTCAACGGTATCTTTTACCAGGTTCTGTCACAGTTTTTATTTCCTTTAAAAACTTTGCTAAAAATAAATAAATAAATTATTAGATGTTGTTAATTTCCAGCTAACTCTGATCAGTAATTCAAGTTATCTAATTGGTTGATGAAATATTAGGACGAGGAGCGGCTATGATCATAGAGTCTCTCCAGTTGTTCTACCACATCCATTGCTTCCGCTGTTGTGTATGTCAGGCTCAACTGGGAAATGGATCTTGTGGTACGGATGTCCGTGTACGGAACAACAAGCTGCACTGTCAGAACTGTTACAGCAATGATGACGGTTAGTTGGCTCTGATGTTTTCAATCTCATTTATTCAGTTACTTTTACATATTAAGCATAGCTTCATTCACTTCCAGAGGTTGGTGTACAGAGTACACGTTAAAGTTAACTGTTTAAAATGATACATTTTAATACTACTTGTTAGGAAAAAAGTGTAATTCTTATGTTGTAAACAAAACGTTTTTAATACAAATGGCTGTTTTAAACATTATACCCTGAACCTAGTCACTAAATGTTGTAACTGAACAAAGAGAAAAACTATTGGTAATATGAGAGCATGTAGTATTAGGTTCTGAAGTTTATAAAACCACTCACAAGCAGTAGAATAAGGTTCTGAAGTTTATAAAACCACTTGCAAGGGGTAGTATTAGGTTCTGAAGTTTATAAAACCACTCACAAGCAGTAGAATAAGGTTCTGAAGTTTATAAAACCTCTCAAAACGGTAGTATTAGGTTCTGAAGTTTATAAAACCACTCAC